CACTCCGCCTTCCATTCCCTCACAGAATTACAAGCAGTGCACTTCGCCTTCCATTCCCTCACAGAATTACAAGCAGTGCACTTCGCCTTCCATTCCCTCACAGAATTACAAGCAGTGCACTTCGCCTTCCTGAATTTTTGTTTTCTAGCCAACGGCAAATAGAGTGCAGGTGAAGGAGACCTTGGACGGCTGCTGCCGCTGACCAGAAGTGCAAAGTACCGACTCTTAAATACCCAAACTGAGGTTTCTGGGAATCTACGCAGTGGGTCTGCGCCGGCAGGAGAGCTGCCCAGTGTGAATGTTCGGTTACGTGCCAACGCACGGGAGGCTGCTACCTACTTACCGCTCGAGCAGTCTTCCCCACGCCAGCCGGTCTCACACTGACAGCGGTCTGGTGCCAGGCAGCGCCCGTGCACACACTCCTTGGTGCAATGAGCTGCCAGATCGAGGAGACAGGGATACGACACGGACAGGCTCTAATCCACATTTTCCGGTTTTCACCATTCCCCGTCTCCATACCAAACGGGCTAAAACTGGCTGAGGAATGAACTATATTCCTGTCTTAGAATCAGTCTGCAGTGAACAATATTTTAAAATGAGCCCCTGGTTTTCTAAATTAGTTCATTTGGAGGTTTATCAGGTCCTTGGCACAGAATCTGTGGGGCAGAAACGTTAATTACATTTACTGGATAAGTTATGCTTGTTAAATCTAAATAACAATTTTACACTGCACTTAAACCACTGGGAGGGAACCACTGCAGACAAGTGAGATTAACTGGAAGCTACCTTTAAGTGCCTCTGCGATTGAATTCCACCACCTTGGCTTTCATTTAATAATCCTAACAGAGTGGGAGGCTCCTTGTTTATATCTCTTCCCCAGTACTTACGGACACATTTTTCCCCGCTCTCGTAATATCCAGGGCAGCACTGGTACCTCCTGCGGTAGTCCATCTTCACGGCCTGCCGATAAGCGGTCTTGTATGTGATCCTGCGCATGATAGAACAGAATTGCACCGTCACCAAGTCGGAGACCCTGCACGTGGCGGGCCGGCTGAGCGAGGGGTACGCACTTCTGCTGGTTGCACCCGTAGAAGTCCCAGGCGTTTGCGCAGGGCTGCGTGGACATCTGGGCAAAGGGACGGCTGTAGGACTCCTTCACCGATGTGGTGTAGCTGGGAGGGGAGACAACACGTTCTTGCATTAGGCATATAAATACAGAAACAGTATGTAAGTATGACATTTTAACATACGGCCTTTGAGGACGGCTCTTCCCCTATATGATAATCTCCTTTCTCCCTGTTACCTCTCCCACAGGCTGCACACATTGGGGTCCCTAGGGTTCAAGAGCCACGCGAGATCGAGGAAGAAGCAGAGGAAGAGGAGGGTGCAGCAACTCTTCACGGATCTCACCATCCTAGGAAACAAGACATCGCAGAACTTGTAATTGAAAGATTGCAGGTTCGAATCCCCGACCAGCAAGGCACCACTGAGGTACCCTAAGCAAGGTACCACCCCCAAGCACTGCTCCCCGGGCGCTGAATTAGCTGCCCCCTACTATGTCACATTGTCACATATGGGTTAAATACAGAGGACACAATTTGTTGTTGTGCACTGTGTGCTGTGGTATGTCAGCAATGACAATTAATCACTAAATTCTAAATTCTAAGAAATGCCTCCCCAATCTGGACGACAAACAGCACCTGCTAAAGCATAAGGAGGTTTACTGTAAGGGTCCAAAGCAAAGCACTGGTATAACTGGACAGGGTCCACAGCTACTCCACGACAAACTGCATTTCAGAAACATTTGCAGGCTCTCCTCACCATCGCATGATGTGGTCTATTAACTGCAATAATATAACTGGTAGGACAATACCTGTCGGAGTGATTCATGAAAGAATATTCCAGAACAAGAATATATATTACATTCATATGCTTTTAAAAATTTGTTTTCTAAACATGCTACACTGAACAATATAAAATATGCTTAAAAAATTCCAAAAGTATTTAAATACTTAAATATTAACTTAGTGTGAATGTTCTGTTTTGACTGAATTCTTGATTAAGTGATATTATATAAGAAGATTTATGGACAGTTTGGCAGTTTAAGCTATTATTAGCAGCCTATTAGGCTATACTGAGACTTCTGGTCTGTATAATTCGTAATGCTCATTCATAAGATGTGGGATATTTACCGCATGCAACTTTAGACGAATTTGAAAGAGAAAAGTTCTGGATTAAGACAACAAGAAGTGAGGGTTAATCGCCTATCATATCATCAATCAGAGCTGCCCCCAGCCCTGACACGCTGGCACAGCAGCGGGCCCCTCCCCTGTCACCATGCAGCTTGTGCACACATCTGGATCCCATCACCGGGCCCACCCTCGGGGGTGCAATAGCTGAGGGCTGGCGGTGGCTTGCAGGGAACGCCGACTGAGGGCTCCCCAAGAACTCCCGAGGAAACAGCCCAGATTTGCCTCCACGGGCCTTTCCTGGGTCGATTGCCCACGACGAGAAAGTCAGCTACTTTCTCCAACGTTGGGCTGGAGTCTCACACTGGTTCCTGCTTGTTTTGTTTACTTTTCCTGAAAAGAGCAGCTGATCTCTGCTTTAATTTTACGTTGTTGTGAAACCAGTAGTCCGAATCTCCAAGTATTTGCAGATCTCTGCATAAGAAGAAATACCGTTATTGTACCATTATCTGTGATGGGATGCTTCTTTGGATAAATTATATGCTACATGGCATATAATCAGAAGGCTGGAGATTACAAACAAAAAGCCAAAATAGTGGTTATATAAATGATTGAATTTCACGTGTCTTTCCATCCAGTATCCACTCCTATTGTCCAATAATTCAAGCAACTGTTTGTCCTCCTTGGCAAATCACAGCTCCCAAAAACACCAAGTGGTTTTATTCTATAACTACAGAAGATCATTTGACCTTCAGTTGTAAAAAAAGTCATTCAAATTTGGCTAGCTGGAGAAAATGAAAAAGGGACAAAAACAAAAATTAAAAACAAAACTTTAAAAAAGGAAGGCAAATGTTTCTTATTAAGAGAAGCAATTGCCTTTATTGGTCCCCACATTTGAGTGGGTAATTAATTTGAAAAAGGTTTTTTTCCCCCTCGTATTACTGCATTACGTCTTGACCACAGGAGTGTTCACATGTGCCGTTAAACCCAACATGACTGCTACAAACTCAAAAAGACTAAAAAAAAGTGAAAACTTCTGTGAATCACAGTTAAAGTTTGAAGTAAACACTGACTGTGAGATACATTATGAAGCAGTTAAGGTGGATTAACTCCTCCTCTAGACATATTTTAGATTATTCTGTAGGACCGTGAATAAGAACAGGGAACACAAAGCACATGTTTACAACAAAATAGATTTGAATATAATTTGTGGAGCCAGCAACAAACAAAAACTGTAATTAGTTCTGGATAAACAGCGATCTTAATAAGGAGGTTCATATCGAGTAAACAAGGTGACATCATGGCTTTGGTCAGAGGCTCAGACATGCGGTGCATTCTAACGCAGACTGTGTGCATCTTCTGGAACAGAGATACACACATCCACATCTAGGGTCCAGCTATTGCCATTTGCTGAGTTTAGCTCATGTTGTTGTTATAGAGGCTGCTTTGGGTGCCCAGTAAGTCTTTTTAAATAATTACATAATTTTCTATTTTCAGCCCTATCTATAGATTGTTCAGGAATTGCTGAAAGTACCATGAGGCAGCAATAACACTTAGGAATTGAGTGAATTTAACCATTTCCACCCCACAGCTTATAGAAGAACCTCTCACTGATGTAGACCACTGACGTAGACCACTGACGTAGACCACTGTTTCCCAATCTGGTCCTCAGGGACCCACAGTCGGTCCGTTTTTTTTTGCTCTCTCCGAACTGTCAAAGTGTGTCACTTCAAAACCTCTCCGAAAATCACCCAAGCACTTGCAGCAAAAATACCTGTGCATTTTTTGACTCAATCACTATCCTGTCTTGTATGGCTAATCAATACGTCATTGAGTCAAATCTACTAATTAAGTTAATTAATTGATCGAGCAGGTGGTGAACTGTAACAAATACATGGAATGGCTGAGGTGCCCCTGAGGAGAGGTTTGGGGACTGAAGCGGTGTTCATCTAGCCATTCAGCGAGATATCAGTAACTTTTTGGAGATCGGAGGAAATTCTCGTTAGTTTTTTTTTGTGTTGCTGTTAATTTGCACATGTTGTAATGTTAAATTCTGTTCTTCTTATCCGAGCTAATATACACTTATTACCCTTAAACAACTTTAACCATTTTCTTTGGCTGCCTAAGACTTCTGCACAGTACTGTAGGCGTAGGACTGCACGGAGTCTACGGTAAGCCACCAGCACTGGAGAGGGACGTAAGGGCTGGAGCGGCTCACAGTGAGCCAAGCAGACGACCTCCGCCGAATCCCCCCTTTCATGTGGCTCCGTTAAACAATGGCGGAGCGGGACGCGGGCAGAGAGGCTCGCCAGACCTTTCATCAAGAGAACCCCGCATTTGTTTTCATGTCCTGAAAACCACTTTCACATACGCATCTCTCTGGTGATCCAAATTAGTCCCACATGTCGCAATAAGGCGTTTCTCATAGACGCAAAGAAACACACCAACTTATTGGATTAGCCGTATCGTAAACGACAAGGAGGCAGAGTGTTTTTTTCAGACTAACATTAGTGCCCAGAAATTGTGAAAAAAATTCATTCAATATTTCAATGTATAATTTTTAAAAATGCCGATGTGTTTCTAACATATGAAATAGGCCATAAGTACTGTATTACAAAGGAACAGCATACTACAAGGAGAAACATTTATGGTTAGAATGGATTTCATGAGCTTTCCACAGCCTAGATGGCAGAGCTGGATGAATGAAAGGCTTAATTAAGCCTTTTACATATATCATGTTACATATATACACATACATATGGTGGCTGAGTAGCCTGACGTTCCCAGAATGGGGGTCTCAATCAAGCCCCCCGCTGTGTGTGTGGAGTTGGTACATTCCACCTATGTTGCGTGGAATCTTTCTGACTATGTCAGTCTTCTCTAACAGTCTAAACACATGTGGGTAGGTGAATTGGCATCTGTACAGTGTTTATAGTATCACCATGTCCTGCTCCCCTATCTTGCGCCCTGTGAATCCTGGGATTGGCTTCCCATGACTCTGCATTAGATAGATGGTGGGAAGATGAATGAAGTAGATGGACAGAACTTCCATTTGTGTAGATTCCATTAATTCATGTACTAAACTTTATCTCCTTCATTGTTATCTGGATTTTGATTGTCACATTTATATACAATATACTGTATGGACAAAAGTACTGGGACACCAGGTCATTACACCTACAGGAACTGTTATAACATCTCATTCTAAATCCATAGGCATCAATATGGAGCTGGTCCCCCCTTCGCAGCTGCCACTCTTCTGAGAAAGCTTTTCACAAGATTTAGTGTATCTGTGAGAATTTCTGCCCAATATTCCAGAAGAACATTTGTGAGGTCAGGCACTGATGCTGGACGTGAAGGTCTGGCTCTCAACTCTGTTCTAGTTCATCCCAAAGGTGTTAGATGGGGTTAAGGTCAGGACTCTGTGTGGGCCAATCAAGTTCCTCTACAGCAAAGTCACCCAAGCATGTCTGTATGGATGTTATTCGTGCACTGTGACAGTCAAGCCTTCCCCAAACTGTTTCCACAAAGTTGGAAGCATAGAATTGTCCAAAATGTCTTGGTTTGCTGAAGCATTAAGAGTTTCCTGCCCTGTAACTAAGACGCCTAGTCCAACCCCTGAAAAACAGCCCCATACCATTATCCCTCCTCCACCAAACTTTACAGTTGGCACAATGCAGTAAGGAAGGTAACATTCTCCTGGCATCCACCAAACCCATTCTCATCCATCAGACAGAGAAGCGTGATTCGTCACTCCACAGAACACGTGTCCACTGCTCCCGAGTCCAGTGGTGGAGTGTTGTACAGTACATCGCTTGGCATTTCACTGGTGACTCTTACACACTTTGCGCAATCGGCGACCCTCTCTGTCACTTTAAAAGGTCTGACACTTTGTGGCTGAGTTTCTGTTGATCCTAGATGCTTCCACTTCCCAATAATACCACTTACAATTGGCCAAGGAATTCCTAGCAGGGAAGAAATTTCACAAACTGACCTATGGCAGGGGTAGCATCCTATGGCAGTATCACGCTTGAATTCACTGAGCAGAAGGACGAATTCTTTCACAAATGTTTGTAACTCTGACTGCATGGCTAAGTACTTGATTTTATACACCTGTGGCAATGGGTCTGAATGAAATTGAATGAAACACCTAAATCCAGTGATTAAGAGGTGTGTCCTAATACTTTTGTCCACATAGTGTACTGATGGCGAAGGCATTCAATTAGAAACAGTCTGTATCCATCTGAAAATGCCTTTATGTAAAAAAGAATAGCTCAGAATGTTTGCTCCTCAGAAAACTGGTGAGAGCTCAGTGGCCCATCTTTTCGATCATAAGTTTCCATGTGTGCAAGTTCCCTGCCTTAACATGACAGTATGCAGCAAGTGTGTTTCCTGCTTGGAAAACCTGGAACACTGAGTGACAGAATGTTTTCCTCCGTTACTAAATTGCAAAAAGCAGAGGCTGCGTGATACTGATGGAAAGGACTCTCTCTGCCCTCTCTCTGGCTCTCACAGCACTGAACTCTTAATTGAGGTAGAAAATATTAGTCACTTCTTGGAAGGAAGGGACATGAAGCAGAGGAAAAATAAATGGGGCACAAAAATGTGTTATTTATGCATTAGCCAAATGCAAATACAGGCAGCAGCTCATATATACATGCATACAGGCTGGGGACCTTCAAATCATAAAAATTAGCAGATTAAAATATACAAAATTAAGGGAAAAGTAACCCAGCATCTAGCTTCTCATGCAGTAGGAACCTTCAGCTTGACTTCTCGTAACTTTTTCGGAGGTTTTGATAGTTTAAGGGCTCCTTGAAAAGTTAATAAGCAGACACAACCCAGTTTGGCAGAGTTCCTGGTGCAAAATTTAAATGTTTGCTTTCCTGCAGTGATTGCAATGCCAGTTGAATATAATACTTTATATTTTTAACACTTGCAGTTTGACTGCCAGGATTATTCATTATTAACACCAAGCCAATTAACCTCTGAACGTATTTTGCCATTGTTTTCTAGGAATAAAAATAATACGCTGTTTCGGTATGGTTAGGGTTAGGGTTAGGGTTATGCTTAGGGTTATGGTTAGGGTTAGGGTTAGGGTTAGGGAGGAGGGTTAGGGTTAGGGTTATGGTTAGGGTTAGAGGGGTTAGGGTTATGGTTAGGGTTAGAGGGGTTAGGGTTAGGGGGGAGGGTTGTAAAATATGACACCCATACTAGTCAGTCTGCAGGGGGGGACTGGGGGGGGGTGCCTGAACACCTGCCCCCTTTTGCAGGAAAGATTGAAAATACTCCCCTTTTAAGTCTTGACTGTCCTATTTCTAATTTTACTAAGAGTAAAATTCGGCAAATTTTACTAGTTGAGCACTTGCCCCTCGAAAAGTCTCTGCACGACAATTATAGTTACAACTTATTAAATGGGTGTTTAGACTGTTGCTTAGTTACAATCTTTAGTTGCAGATAATCCTGTATCTCTTGTCCTGTTGGTAGTGGTATCATCAGACCTTGATCAGGACTCATAGAAAACATCTTGTTCTTTGGTTTCCTCAGTTTGCAACCAGAAAATTTGTCTGGAAAAAGATCCAAAAGCATTTTGTTACTCTGTGCTAAAACGGCACAGGTAATTCTTTATGTAAAGAATCAGCCGTGTGCAAACTTACAGAGTAACAGTACAGTCTCAGGCAGAAGCATGCCTTGCAGTTTTAGGGGATGAGACACTGTTCCCTAATGTAATGCACTCCTACATCACAGTCAGTGACTTTCTCTAAACATAAATATACTTGGAATATTGTAATGCTGATATCCAGACTGACAAATACATAGTGTTACTGGAAATCAGGAATTCAGCCATGCATTTAATTTCTGCTTAGAGCCACTGACGTCCTCCCAGCATAAAACAGTAATTATTCAGCTCAGCAGGCAGTAGTTAAGAAGCTGTATAATGCAGTGTTTCTCAGCCGAGGTGCTGGTATGCCTGCTGTTTGGTGGTTGGGAGGAATGACCACCTGTCTGAATGGACCAGAACCGCTTTCACACATTCATAGAACATCCATTCACACTGTGCAATACTATTTATTTCTGAGCTGTTATCATAGAATTATGAGCAGTACTTCTATGACTTTCTTTGCACTATTACTGTTTATTGTTGTCTATTATTTTTCTGTCTGTCTGTCTGTCTGTCTGTCTGTCTGTCTGTCTGTTTGTCTGTCTTTCTTTCTTCATGGTTTACTGTGAAATCACTGGCTTGCTGGCAGGGCCTCTTCATTGTATTCCCCAGAAAATGTATCTCCGTGTCTTTGTGGCTACATGTGACAATTACCCGAGTTTCCTCACCTCCACATCTCATTTACAGCTCCCAGGCAGACAGAACTCCAGGAAGGTCTGTCTTCTCCCTGCTTATTTACAGCACTGGACGAGCACTGGATGAGCACTGGAGGAGCACTGAAGCAGCTCATGGCCCACAGTAAAAAGCCTGGACTGCAAGCAGCCAGATTCTCCTGGGCTAAGAGTCACAGAACAGTTCATTTCCCAGGCTGTGGAGATGGAAAAACAAAGCTAACTGCCATGTTAGTGAGCTGGATGTGGCTCCACTGTGCTGCTGCACCAAATGAAATCACAGCGACGGCACGACGACCCCCCCCCCCACTGCCTGTAAGGGGCTCCAAACTTTGCTGATTTTGGCTCTTCAGCAAACTCAGTTTAATGATCGTTTGGCCCCCATGACCACTCATCCCAACCTTTTAAAAAGGAACAAAGTGACATCACTCCGACAGGGAAGTTCAGCGAAAATCCATTTCTGTTCTTTTTCAAGACGCGTTACGTGAGGCACAAGTTCAGCACACAGGCAGGGTTTTGTTAGTACTACTGGACTGGTGAGGTTATGCCTGGAAAAAACTGTACCTAGGTTAGTTTCCAGGCATACATAAACTGTTATTGGACTAATAGAACTAACATAACACACCAGCCTAGAAGTACATAAATCAGTAAGTAAATCTCTAAAATTCAGATACTTCTTCATAACCTCCTGAAAACTCAGTGGCAGGCGGTGTCAATAATTGCTGGTATGTTCCTTAAGTTCCCCCCCCCCGAGACACGGAGAGTAAACATGCTCTCCCTTCCAAACACATGAAGGCACACAGACCGTGCACTGGACAGGGCTGCCAGCTACAGTCTTTAAACCAGATGTCTGAGTCATGCAGACATTATGAAAGCCACCTTTGATAGAAGTGTGTGTATATATATATATTGGAGTCATGATATGTGTATTAAAGTGATTTAGATAATAGCACACAGAGAGACACGTGGAACCGTAAAAAGCCAACAGAAACCCAGCTGAAGAGGATGTAGAATTACTCTGCACATGCAAAGCAGCTTCCCCTCACTCTGTGATTGTAATTGTCCTGTGTTGGACTATTTTTTTTAATCCAGCTGTGTGGAACAGTCATTATGACTGCAAGCTGAATACTCAAAGAGCTGAGCTGAGGTCCTCATTCTCCTCTGAAGAGTATTATCCCAGATAATATAAATGAAATCATCCAATGCATCAATAACATTAATAATAATCAATATTTAATTAATCAAGCATGATATTATATTATGATATTATGGAATATAATATATGTAAGTTCACTGTAATACTGTTATAATACACTGATTCTACAAACCATATTACTGTGTTGTTGTTGACTTTTATTTATATCTGGACTAACGTACAAGTATCCAGAGAGCGTGCCGGTTACCCTCAGACCCTCGTCGTTTTTCCATCTCCGATTCGCAGTCAAAACACCCATCAAAGCCGCAGCCCCACACATGTGCGCAGACAGCCCCCCCGCAGCTCTGTTTCCGTACTGCCTTCCTGCTCTGACGTGGGAAGCGTCTAGCAATGATCAGGGTTTCGCATCGCTGGCTTCTTCAGCTCATCCATGGTTGAGAGACAATAGAGCAATACGTCATTAGGGTCAACAAGCAATCCGAAATACTGGGCCCAGAGCGGCAACATGAGGGGTTACTAAAAAAGCATTTTAAAGACAAGCTGAATGATATTATGGTACATATATATAAAATGCAAGAACTGCACCATGAAACAATGACAATAAAATTTGATTAAAAAATTATTAAGACAAAAAACTATATGATGCATGGTATGACTGTAAGATAGTGGAAAGTAAACCACAGTATATTGTGAGTCATTGATATACTAATACCTGCAGCTCCCTAATTAAATTACTCATTAGAAAACTGGATTGGCCGAAGAGTCTCCACACCTGAGTTTGAACAGCTGACCTAAAGATTATCCCAAAAACTTGCATACACACCAGCCCTTTGTGGATTAGATTGCCCACCCATGAGTTAGAGTGAACCACAAGGGAGAGAAGAGCAAGAACAGAGAGATAATGTACTAATAATATTGCCAAAAGTATTGGGACACCCCTCCAAATCATTGAATTTGGGTGTTCCAATCACTTTCATAGCCACAGGTGTATAAAATCAAGCACATAGACATCTAGGTTTCTAGACATTCTACAAACATTTGCGACAGAATGGGTCGTTCTCAGGAGCTCAGTGAATTCAAGCATTGTTCCGTGATAAGTCCATTCATGAAATTTCCTCACTACTAAATATTTCAAGGTCAGCTGTTAGTGGTATTATAACAAAGTGGAAGCAATTGGGAACAACAGCAACGTAACATCACAGAGCGGGGACAACGCCTGCTGAGGCGCACAGTGTGCAGAAGTCGCCAACTGTCTGCAGAGTCAATAGCTACAGACCTCCAAACTTCATGGGGCCTTCAGATTAGCTCAAGAACAGTGCATAGAGACCTTCATGGATTGGGTTTCCATGGCCGAGCAGCTGCATCCAAGTCTTACATCACCAAGTGCAATGCAAAGCGTTGGATGCAGTGGTGTGAAACACACTGTCACTGGACTGTAGAGCAGTGGAGACGTGTTCTCTGGAGTGACGAATCACGCTTCTCTGTCTGGCAATCCGATGGATGAGTCTGTGTTTGCAGGATGCCAGGAGAACGTTACTTGCCTGACTACATTGTTTGAAGTGTAAAGTTTGGTGAAGGGAGGATTTATGGTCTGGGGTTGTTTTTCAGGGGTTGGGCTTGCCCCCTTAGTTCCAGTGAAAGGAACTCTTAATGCTGCAGCAGTCAAAGCCATTTTAGACAATCTCATGCTCCCAACTTTGTGGGAACAGTTTGGGGACGGCCCCTTCCTGTTCTAACATGATTGAACACCAGTGTACAAAGCAAGTGTTACGTGATCGTAACACAAGGTATATAGGGACATCGATGAGTGAGTGAGTCTGGTATGGAGGAACTTAACTAGCCAGCACAGAGCCCTGACCTCAGCCCGATAGAACACCTTTGGGATGAATTAGAGCAGAGACTGCGAGCCAGGCCTTCTCGTCCAACATCAGTGCCTGACCTCACAAATGCTCTCCTGGAAGAATGGTCAAAAACTCCCATAAACACACTCCAAAACCTTGTGGACAGCCTTTCCAGAAGAGTTGAAGCTGTTATAGCTGCAAAGGGTGTGTCAACTCCATATTAAAGCATATGTATTAAGAATGGGATGTCATTAAAGTTCATGTGTGTGTAAAGGCAGGTGTCCCAATACTTTTGGCAATATAGTGTATGTTATCCATTCATTACCTTGTCATGACATCCTTAACCTCTAAAAAAGGCAGAATTTCCCCAAAATTGCTTTAGTTTTGATGCCTTGATATTCAGCCCCTGCGTCATTGGATCTGACAAAGCTAAATGTATGAGCTACACAAATACAAAAGGTACAGTTAAACATGTTTATAGAATCCAAATACTCTACTTCATAGTACAGTATATCATATATATTTACAACATTTAACTTTTTTTTTTATTTTTTGTCAATAATTTAACTCACAGCAAAAATAGAAAGCTTGTTGCCACAAAATCACAGCTACTTGTTTCTGGAACAAAAGTGTATTCGTTTATTAATATTTACGGTCAATTCTGCACAGGGTACTGAGTTGACTGCTTTAGGACAGACAAGGATATTACTTTCTCTTTAAGCACTGAGCTGGCACAAGGCTCCAGTTCCTGCCAGTGAATTCTTCATTCTGGGACTCACCGATTTCCTACTATAACTTCTAGTGGAGCTTTTCCTCTCTGGAAAGTGTGGCGGGAGGGGGGGAACCTGTTCATTATTAATGTTTTCAGCCCATCCCGTTTTCTAAACTAAAGCTGGGTCAGATGTGTATTATCCGAACATCTGGATATAAAAGAAGTGTTGTGTGTTTTTTTACCTTTTTAACTTGGGCCACATGTTCTAGCCTGAGGATGAACTTGCGAATGTCCTTAAGGTACAGAGAGCCAACAGCCACGTCTGCGGCAGCACATTCAGTACGGTGAGTGACAGTGAGTGCAGTGAGTGCAGTGGCACGGAGATTTATATAGGGAAGGTAACTACAGTGATACTGGCTCATCCTGATCAAGTTCCGAGTTAATATACAAGTAGCATTATGATCATTTTACCATGCAAATTTGAAAATAAATCATTGCAGTTTTATATTGACTGAAACAGTTTGCTAGAAAGTTTAATCTTTACTGTGAAAAGTACTGTGTCTCCTAGGAGCCAAAAATGCTCATCCTGTTTGGGTACAATTCATGGGTAAGAGGAAGAGGCACAAGTCTGGAAGGAACATCCTTTTCATAACATCATAAAGGACACCGTTATATGTTATCAACTGATTATTCAAGGCATACTATTATTACAATCATAGATAACTTTTGTCCATGACAAAATTTTATTTTACAATAAAATAGGATAAATTTTGCTGACAGAGAAAAAAATTCCTTTTTTTTATTTACTTGTAAGCTTGAAGATATTTTTTAAGTTGAAAAGATGTGGTAAACAGTTTACCGTGCTTTATACTCCAGACACTTTACAGCTGAGGTAATGTAGGCAAAAGAAAGAACCTCACAATCATAAAACTGAACATCAACACTGACTAAACGTAAAGCATTACACATCCACACTGCACAGACCACGAGAGTGAGCCGGAATGAGCTACAGGCAGCAGATATGAAACATCTTGCGGAATCTCACATCCTTTTCCACTTGGCCATCAGCCTCCCCGAGAAGAAAGCACACAGCGGATTGGCTTTAGCCACACTAACACTCAATGCAGAATTTCCACATGGAGATACTCTGAAAAGGATTAGGGATATTTTGGAAAATGTAATGTGGGTTTATTCTATTAAGAAAAGTTCTTATTGATTAACTGCAGGTCCAGGATAACAGGAATACGTCTGGCGGCGGTTGTAAAACTTGTATTTTTGCAGGTTCTTGTGGAGTTTAAAGTCTAGAATTCTGGGATCAAGGCACCTTCTGCATCAGCTGTAGTATAAACCTCAGTGCAGCTACAATAAAGCAATGACGTGTTTTACTTAAAATCCTGCCAAAGCTTCATATTCTGAGCAAGAAACAATCAAGATAAACTGATGCAATACTTTCGGCTTCACCTAGATACTTTTCCTGAAAAAAATAAATCGAATGGCTTTCTTGTGATTCATTCTTCCAGAAAAGGCAGAACCCTGAATGTGCACTTAGTATATCTAGATTCCAACGTGATAAATGTTATTATAATTTTGCATTATTAAGCATTTATACTTCAATCAAAAACCAGAAAATAAAAACCCATATGACATAAAATGCTTGTCAGTGTTCTCTAGTATCAGTCACTTGATTCTAACTATTTTTTTTTTTTTAATTTGGAGTAAATGCGTGAGCCCTGCTCACTTATTTTGACACTTTTTGCAGGACTGCACAACCAGAAGCTGCTATGAGAACAGCAACAATACAAGCGACATATTTGCCCACTGTTTCTCTGCAAATCATGCTGATTTAAGCAAGGCGACTCCCCCAGATGCTGAGTCTCACAAGAGTCACAGGAGTGACGGGAAACCCGAGTTTCTCACCATATATGCAGCACAAATCCGCTCCAATAGGTCATATAAGGTTTGGCTTAGAAACGGCAGACATTGCAACTTTTGTTTCAAATAGTGCTTGGCTGCTTTTATTATGTCGTCATTGTTCTTAATGCACAGACTTGATTTGTTTGTGAATGTGTGCATTATAATAATGTTGATGAAGTTTCAGCATAATCTCAGGCACGGCCAATCAAATCAGTCAGTGTGTAACTATGGCGACACACCAGTCATGGATGTTTAGCCTATAGTCCATTCACCAGATCACACTCCTCCAGTTCTCAGTAGTCAAAGGTCTGTCAAAGGACTCTAAGCTGTAGAGTATGTATGGTGAGTATAGTGAGCTGCCCTGGGAGATGCCTGTCTAATTTTTACTGATATATCTAAGCTGTAGAGTATGTATGGTGAGTATAGTGAGCTGCCCTCATGGGAGATGCCTGTCTAATTTTAACTGATATAGGGCTCACAATCTCTGCTACAGGCTCCACACACTTCATGAAATATGGTTCCTCTATTAAGTTCATTTTGCTGCCATCACAGATTTAGGGCAGGCAGATCCAGAGACTCATGCCCACCAAAGATAACGTCTTCCAGAGGAGTTCCTAGTATCTTAAGACATCCAGGGCTCATCTCTCCTGAAGTTCACAAACTCACAGCATGATTGTTAAAACGTCTGACTTAAATCTTTCAGGGGTCTTTCTGATTAACTTGGCTTCAACCCTGAATGCCGCAGGCTTGTGGTGCTTCTGATGTCTTATTTAGGATCTTTTACCTGTCATGTGTATGGAAATCCCATCCTCTAGAAATATGTAAAGCCTAAAAGCCTTTTTAAAAGCTTTGTATGATAAGCAGTTATCTATCCATCCTCTAAATGTGCATTCAATATGGGGGAGGCAGCATAGGGCCAAAGCAGGGAGGCATCTGGGAAGAGATTAGGATCCATCACAGGCTGCACACACCCTCTCTGGCCAATATGGAAATGCCTGCTAACCTGACTGCATGTCTTCACACTGTGGGGGACAATCACAGATCCCAGACAAAACCCGCAGCACATGGGACCAGCGGGTAAATCCCACACACGCAGCAGGGGTGGAACTCAAACCCCCAACACCAGGGGCGTGAGGAAAGAGCAGCACTGCACCACGTGCCTTTTAATTTGTTGTTTTTAAGAAGCATATTGCCGTCAGTATTTCTCCCATTACAGCGTGCACCAGGGCTCCCCAAGTCCAGTGCTGGGGGGCAGAATCCAACACAGTCTGCAGATTTCCCTGCTCATTACATATATAAATAAGCTATATAAATAACATGGTTCAGTTAATTTCCTCAACAACTCCGCTTTAGAGAAATCTACAAAGAGTATTATTAGTAGTATTATTACAGATATTAATAACATATTACATACCATGCATATTCATATTTAGGAATCAAACTGGCCACGACTGATCATTATTTTAGAAATAATGAATGGAAGTACTAGATTGTGTTACACGTGTCTTTCCAGTTGAAAACTGACGTCAGAAATAAGCTCCGTGCGGTCTGTCTCGATGTTTTCATGAGAGGAGACCAAACGTGAAGTTCAGGGTCAGATTCAGTTTTCACTTGTAAGATTACAGAAGCAAAAGTAAATGATTTAGTATTTTTTATTTCTGAAACTATCTTACCTGCTTTACAGTCACCATTAGCTAAAAGAGCTTGTCCAATGGCATCTCAGCTCAACACCCTATAGGCATCTCTTTGAGCATTCAAACTAAAAATATGATTTTCAAGTTTGCAAAGTATGCTGTTGGCGTGTAACAATTGAATTCTGAGTAAAGATCCAAACTAATGAATCCCAATTTGAAGTTTTTCAGATTTTCCAACAGGGTTCCCGATAACTCAGAGGATCGACTTGACCACTGAGTCATATTTGAAATGAAAAATCATAGCTTGCAAGCCTTTGACATATTGTCGTCTAGTGCACTAAAAACAAAACGTACAATTAAATGTGTCAGAAATATTTTTCCCACATTGCATATGAAGGGTTTCTCATAAGTCCGAATTACTTGTTTTTTACATTATCACTCGCTGACAACCCAGTTACTTATAGATGAAAATAACCAATATATTTCATAAAAATAAAGCTTTTGCCCATGCTGTCATAACAACTTAAACTTTTTTTACAACCATTTAAAACTGTTCAAGTAAAAGTTAGCCTAGGTTAGGAGGATGTCCCTACAATTACGGAAAATTAAAATCAAACATGACGATTATACACCCACCTCAACTCTAATGAGATTATTGTGACCGGCGTAGGTTTGTATCTATGTTTTTTGCTTTAACATCAAACGTTAAAAAAAATAATCTCTTACCTTGCATTTGCTGTCCTTCCACTGAGCTCTGTTATTGGGATCCTGACGGTGCCGAATTTTTTATATAATTCTGAAAAACAGCTAGAGTGGAATTTGTCTTTCCTGTGCGCTGAGCTAAACTGTCGATTCTAAAACGAAAACCAGAATCACTGCAGAAATGTGTTTCTGTGGAGTAGGAAAACATCCACATTTGCCAAAAACAAAGTGATTTGGGGCGTCAGGCTGTGATGTGTCCCGCAAGTTGGAGAGACGCTCCGAGTGACTGAGCGAAAGAGCGTCTTATTCATTCGGTCCGATCTCCGCGAAAAAGTCAGAATTCCAGGGTGTCTTTGGACAGCGGAGTACTGGGGGTATGCAGAGTGTTTATCACCATCCCTATGCGAACAGCGAGTATCAAGTGTCATGCTTACCCATGTTGATTGGCTGAACTTTCCCCTAATAACCAATATCATTTCAATTTGGCACTTCATAGATAGATAGATAGATAGATAGATAGATAGATAGATCAAACTTTTTGTAAACATGTATGCATTTGGAGAGGGGTTAACCAGCTCTGCTTAAATTTAAACGTATCATGTTTGGTCACATAATTAATTTAGGAATGTTGAATGTTTGTGTAATTCACTTGTGCACCAAAAGATGAAAAGCCACATGAAGAAATATCTCCTTTAAGATGAAACACTAAAAATGTAAGCTTGTATATTTTCCGCCTTTCACGAATCCAGTTTTTTGTTTCAGGTTTCTAACAGATTAATTGTGAAGGGGCATTTGAGGATGTGACATGGCAGCAAATGTGACCGATGTCGCATAGTTTCGGCTCACAATAGTATCTCTTCTAAATGTAGGGGCGTGAAGGAGGTGCATTTGGATTAATGGTTTCCTGAAAAACAACAGCCAGTAGCTGATAAGAAGGGCTGCCCGTCTTTCCTGGCGGAATCAGCGACCGTGACTTACGCCTTGTCAGTCAGTCAGACTTTTCTCAGTGCGAATATATTCTACCTATCCAGAAAAAAGTGGTTGAAAAGACACTGTCCGCTAGGCGTCGTTAAAACGTTGAGATTTGGTTGAAAAGTGAGAAATAAAATTAAAAAAAAACAAACATATTTTTGGGTCGTTGAAAAGACGTCTGTGAAAAGACAGGTCTAGGGTGCTCAGTTAACCATTCATTTATTATTGTAATATATGAATACTGTATGTATGTATGTATGTATGTATATTATATTCATTATATCATATTAATGATATAAAACTCACACAAAGAATAAAACACAAAACACCAACTGGCAAAAGAGTACCGATACGACATTTATTGATTGGACATCTCAGGGTCATGTTATCGAATGGAAAAAAACAAACTCAATATAAAATCCTTTAAAAATGATGCTTTAATTGAAGTACGTAGCCTCCACCGCCAGAAGGCGCAGGAGCATGCTTTAGGTGGCCATCATATTCGGTGGTACTACAGTCCAACTTTTTGACGGCAGCTGAAGAAAAACATTAAATTCACCTTTGCTGAGTCCTGTTACAGAATACAATCACGTCTGGTATTCGGTGGGTCCTACAGTCCTACTTATTCTGTAGTAGGTCTTGCTACTGACGCAGGTTAATTAAGGTAGCTGGTGATTTAGAGCAAAATTAACATTGTGTTTTGCATTAGATTATCTATCTATCTGGTTATTGTATCTGTCAAAGACAAGTGGTTCCGAACCAGATAGTTATTTGGCAATCTGTTCCTGAATTATGTTAATTTAATGACTAAATACTTCTAATCAGAGGTATTCTTGCTGGTTTCACAATTACACTTGAAGCAGCGTGTTTTTAGTAAAACATTTGGTAACACTTTGAGGGGGCACAAATAATGCATTGATTAACCAGAAATTAGGTATTACTTAGGTCTACGTACTGATCCCATGTTCGTTCATCATTAATCAATCATGACGGTTAATGAGCTTCATCCAGTTACTATACTTGTTCATGATTTGTACTTGAGTAGTAATTGAGTTACTAAATTGTGTCCTCTCAAGTAATTTTTACCAAATATTTTCTTGGTAAAATTTCCTGTAATGTTGGCATCATACAAAAGGAATAGCAATACAGACATCTTTTGCTATAGCCTCCAGTCCTGTGGGTGGCAGTGGAGGACTTATTTAATAACTTGGGAATTTGGGTTACATCTCCCGAAGAAAAAAAACACCAAGAATACGAGTTTTGATTGGATATCAGTCGATGATGTCAGAGCAATGGGTGTGGTCTTTTAGTATCATGTCAGCTTGCATGTTCGAAGCGTGGTACATCCGAACTTTGGTTAATATTTCTTCCTTTTAAGTATTTCCTATTAACGCAGACCATTGGGTAAGAATATTTCTGTTTGCAAGGTGAATGCTGTTTTTTCTCATTATCGTAAGACTATAACCTGCTATTGTTCTCTCAAATGAGTATTAACGAAGGTTTCACGTGAGGCAGTTATATGTTTTAAAGCTTCCTTTTCATTCTACTTTAGAGGTGAAGTATGGCGAATAAAGAGGCGGAAAAGACTCCGGGTCTCAAGTTCGCAGAGCAACAACTACTTCGTCATGGCTGGGAGCGAGGTGACGTGTTAACCGTATTCATAAAAATAGCTTAAGCAAAATTGCATCATTTTAATACAGTTACTACTTGCTTAACTTTATGCTCTACCGTTTGTAGGAAAAGGACTTGGTAAAGCGGAAAACGGAATTACGGAGGCTGTTAAGGTCAAAATTAAATGTGATAAAGGAGGGGTAAGTGTTTTTATTTGCATTGTTACGTGGGTTCCCAGGGATTGCAAGTCGCACGCATATCAACCTGTTCACACGCCACACCTTATTTCTCACGCTGTGAATTAAGGGATAACGCCCGATCCATGGTGTCTCGTTATATAGAATTATTGGACGATGCACAGGCATACGGAGTGGAGCGCATAAGTGTCCCGAGTTATACAGACCGCCTATACCATAACCACCTATACCAGCTAATCATAAAATAACATTTGTTGATCCCGCTGCAAGCACATTATTACATAGATGCGCACACAGATGGAGTGCAGAAAAGATGGAAGTTGGCAAGATCCAATAAATGCGGTGGGCAGGGATCTCACGTCTGACGCACTGACCGTGAGACACACGTTTCGCCCGTGATGTAATCTCATTCTACTTTTGATGAAACTTGAGAGCCTTGGGTTCCCCATTGTTAAACCGACTTTATAAACGTATTTTTCAGGACCTTGTTTTGGCCACATACAGTGAGCATTGTGTTGATGTCCTTGACTTCTCCAAAGTTATCTAGCATACCTGCATAACAATATCATATTAACTCTGAATTTGCCAAAGAAATTGCTTGAATACCACAATTCTGCTTTCACTGTGGTAACTAGTTAACCACAAGTTGTCTTCTGCAGATGGGCCACAAGGAAGGGGAGCAGTTTACGTTCCACTGGTGGGACCATGTTTTCAATAAGGCCTCTACCAGTCTGGAGGTGGAATCTGCTGAGGTTTGTCTTTCCAGTTTGAAGTGCGCGTTGAATACAGAACGGATATACATGCTCTGTTGCTGGTGCTGCATGACAGCTGAGATTCACGCAGCATTTCGCTTGGCCTACAACAGGATGGCATCAGGGTGAAGAAGGTGGCAGAGAAGGATGGAGCTGAGGGCGTGGTCTCCAACAAGAAGCCATGCAAAGCAGCACTGTCCAAGGCCAAGCTTTATGGCCACTTTGTTAAGGTATCGAACCCAAGAATCAGTTGGGCCAATATGCATGTGGACAAGGGGAGGCTCAGGCCTGGTCAGCTGGTGCCAGATTGTCATTGTGTGTTTGGCTGGCAGTGCTGATTCTATAATGCAGGCAAGACTTTCTTAACACCAAGAACATCCATTTCCATAGTACAGGAGCACAGGGAACCAGAATGCTGTCCCAGGAGACATTAGGCATGAGGCAGAGGAAATACTCAGGACTGGATCATATTCTGCACATATCAGATTGTTTGTAGTAGCTTATATATCTTCCAGTTGAACTCATTTATCTTTGATTTAAACTCATGAAATTTCCTCTGAAAGCACATCAAGCCCCTGAAGGTTGTCCGCTGTGGTGCATGAAATGACAACCCTACACACACAGAACCCACTGGCAAGGGAGAAAAACACCCCCTTAAAGTTTATGAACATTCCCACAGACCAGCTGCTTCTTCAAAGGTGTTTGGGAAGCTGACTGCTGTCATTATCTCTCTGCAGTCTGCTACGCTTATGTCAGGACAGGAACATGCGGAGAAGAAGGCCTCTAGTTCAGAAGACAGCAGCAGCTCAGATGAGGACCAGAGGCTGGACCTCTCCACCACCTGCAGGTAAGTTCTGCAGGCTTTCAAAGTACTTAGTTCATGGGTCAAGTATGTAAGAAGTATCTGTATTACAGCCACAATATTCATGCTGTTTCTCTGAACAGGTTATCGGACGAAGATCTTTTGAAAGCCTGTGGGGGCCGTACTGCTCACAAGTAAGCTGAGAGCCTTTGGCTGGGAGATCGATTGTGAATGGGGGTTGCAAGTCTAGTTGTTTCTGTAACACTGTCTGCCTGGTCTGTTTAGCAGCAGGTGTCTGACTCTTGTGGCTTTTTTCTTAAACAGAGGAGCAAGACATGGTCTTAGAATGAGTGCCAAGCTTGCCCGACTCAAACAACAGGAGAAGGAGTTTCTGGCAAAATATGGCAAAAACAGCAAACCAGCAGACTCTCCTGGCAAAATGGCATCCTGCTCTGCTGACTCAGGCTGGGACAGGGAAGAGGACCAGGAAGAGGGGGAGGAGACGGAAGCAAAACTAGAAAAGACTAAGAAAAAGAAAAAACGTTCAAAGGAAAGCCTTGAGGAAGCAGTGGCAGAGAGTGCAGACGACACAGAGGTCAGTAAAAGGAAGAGGAGGAAAAAACACTCAAAGGAAATGTGTGATTCTCCAGCTCTTGGGGAACCAAGCGATGAGAGAGGGCATGTCCATCCAGCAGAGAAGAAATGCTTGAATAAGGAGAAAATAACGGCTTGTAATAAAGGAACTGGCAGCTCTAAGAATGGAGTAACGCTCTATGGAAGTAAAGGCTGTAAAGACCAAGATGCCTTCACAGGGGTCTTAGGAGATGATGGTGCAGGTCATGAGGAGAACGTGGAGGAGTGTTTAGCTGGACTGGATGAAGAAGCAGCAGTGCCTGATGAGGACTCAATATGCCAAACTAAGAAGAAGAAGAAAAAGAATATTACAAGTGATGTCACTGAGCAAATGCAAGATGAGGAGATACCAGAGCAGCAGAGTGTCAGGAAAAAGGCCACAAGCAGGCAGAAGGAGGGGGCTGAGGATGAAACTGCAGTGTTAAGAAGATCAAAAAAGAAGAAGAAAGCAAAAGAACTGGGACACTGACAGGGAAGGAAGGATCATCAGGAAATGCAGATGGAGGTCATTCTGTACCCTCACATTTATGTATATCTAAAGAAAATCAGTTGTGAAATACATTGTTTGTATGGTGTTTTTTTAAGTCAAATCGCAGCGCAAAACATTGATGTACATCGTAAAATATCTGGTGCATGGAAAGATGGAAGAATTCTGGTGCTTGAACAATGTAAAATTTAACTGGTTAGACTTTGCAGTGATAAGTCTCACTGGTGGCAACATAGCTGATGTCCATAACAATTGGAAAATCAAAAATAGTTTCACTGTCCTTTATTTAAATACAGTTTATAGAATTTATGTGAAGTGTAACTTCATTTTAAAGCAGCTGAATATTAAATCACCTGAAAGCATCAATATGGTAGTATTTTGTGAAATTCCTCTGCTGAAGACCAAGCAGGCCTGAGACCTCGTCAGACTTCTGTGGAACCTTGGATGAATCGGCCGAAATTGTGTGAGGAAGAAGTGGTTCGATCTGAAAATCGCCACCAAATCCACGATTGGAGCCCACAGATCCCACATCTATGCCAAGGGGGCGACTCAAGCACCACATCAGTGTCACATCTGGATGGTAAAGTAGCTGACATCATAGGTGAAACATCTCTAACAGGATTAATTCCAGATGATGATATTGACAGTACAGCTACATCACCCATGGATGAGGATGGGCTGTCAGAGATCAGTAAGAGACTTTCATGGTTGCATTGAATTGGCTGCATCAAGTAATGTGTGTCGTATGCCGCAGTAGACCAACGTATGCTGTATGTTGATAGGTTTGCTTCAGTTATGCTTCTCTACCACTAGGGGTCTCTGCATACATATTGATCAGGGGTGTTCCTACATATATGAACATGTCTAAGCAGAAGAAGAAATACCATTCTATGTGTAAAAATGTGCATATTCACAGTTTACACACAGAATTGTTTGTACGCTCGGTTGATAAATGAGACCCCAGGCGCTTCTCCTTTCCAACCTTTTATTTTTTTGTGACGTTTATCTGCTTTTTCACATCTATAACAGACATTTGTCTGAAGGCAGAAAGGCAGAACTGTTACACAGGTATCTGGTCCCAGCAGCATCAGAGGCCTCCATCCAGCAGACCAGCGGAGAGCCGGTACCGCTAACGGACCTCAGAACAGCAGGGCCTTGTCCTCACAGATCCACCGGTTAGCCATGTCAGAATTTACTGATCTCCAGCTGTTCAGGACTTTATCTTTATGGCCTGTGTTTGTTAAAACGTGAGTTTTAAACTGGCTTCCAGCATCTGCCCAGAACCTGGAACAAAAGGAACAGTTTGGGATTTAAATTCAATACAAAAACTTGACAAATTAAATACTTTTAATACTTGATGTTTACAATTTGAGATTCTCAGGAACATTTGATATGTGACAGGAATTTGTCTTTGTACTGTGCTCAATCATGTTAGATATCAAAGGCAAGGTGTAGAAGCTACTGGTGAACTGAATTGGGGCGATCTCTCACCCTGTGGTCAGTGAAGAGCCGTTGATCCAGACCCAGTC